GGGGCTGAATAATTTTGCATGCCCAATTTTTCAGTTTTTTATTTGTTAAAAAAGTTTGAAATATCCAATAAATTTCGTTCCACTTCATGATTGTGTCCCACTTGTTGTTGATTCTTCACAAAAAATTACAGTTTTATATCTTTATGTTTGAAGCCTGAAATGTGGCAAAAGGTTGCAAAGTTCAAGGGGGCTGAATACTTTCGCAAGGCACTGTACACGCGGAACTGAAAACATTACCTCCTTGGCGGGGGTAAAAACCACCTTAGCAGACTTCCAAATATAATGTACAGTCTGTCTCCCATAAATGTTCATATTATATTAGAAGTAACAGGTACACATCAGTTCCAGTATTCCACGAAGGATTCAGATTCACATTATTATTAACATGAATTATAAGTAAATGTATATATAAGGTATGTCAACAACAGTGAGCTGCAACACTTTTTAACATTACAAACTAATACATGGTAAGAGAAAAACAGGCAAAGAGGATCCATATGTGGTCATTCATACTTGGAGATTGTCTCTGGCGATATAGTGTCCATAAGGCAAAAGGACCCCAATTCCTTGTGTAAGCTGGACTGCCTCCTTTACAGCTTCCGTAAACAAATACAGTTCAGTAAGGGCACGTATCTGCAGAAAACACCAACCCAGATTAAAAACTCCACCAAAACTGTGAGAGGAAAATTTGCCCACATTCACGTATGGGCAAATGAAAAACCAAATACTGACCTTAATTATTTTGCCCTCCACAGTGCGTTGCACATCTCTGCACATAGTCCCCACAAAATGTAGGTAAAGGGCTAGTATGGGCAGTAGCTGATATTACAAACACAATTTCAATTATTGGTCTTGAGCACTGCACTACAACATGAAGAAAAACAGACTGTATTTATCTGAGTACCGTGATGTAGTAGCCTGTGGTGAAAAGCCATTGGCAGACGAAGTTAAGGCTAGAGACAGTGGTGCCAAGGTGAATCCTGTGAGGTTCCGAGAAAAGGTCAACTCCAGGGAGCAGTTCATCTCCGATGCTGTGGGAGGCATACTGGAGGTCGGCCTGGGGTTGAGCCAAGGAGCAACACAGCACGCACTGTGTGGGTCACAAACACACATATCAGAATTAATGCACATACACACACACAAACACAAGCACAGACAATAATACATATGGTATACACTTATGAAAGTGAAAACATTTAATAAAATACATAGTCAGCAACAAAATTAAACTAGGATGGGAAGGTTGCGACCTTGACCTTTGACCACCGAAATCCTTGATATTGTGTTCATGAAAATGGGCTAGACATACATACAGATATAGGAGCAGAAACATTTTTTCAGTAGGGGGTGCTGCCTGGGATGCGTGCAAGCACATGACCGGTTATGTGCACACGCAAATGTTTAGAATATAATTTATATGTAAATAATGTACATTGCCATACAGAAAATAAAAGTAACAGTACAGTCAAAATTCTGTCTAGTTTTTTGCATTCTACATGCTTCGATGTTTTCTAAAATTATTGCTTAAGCTTTAATCAGTTAGATCTGTATTAACAACATAAACATGATCCTGATTATGATCCACATTCTCATTCACGACATTTAGCTTGCCAGAGCCAAACAAAATTATTAGCATGTAACTAACTCACAGCATGATGAGATGCCTTTGTCATTTACATCTGAAAACCTCAGGCACTCCTCATCCCCAGTTCCCCTCAGCCCAGTAGTTCCAACACAGGTAGAAGGAGTGGCCTGTTGATCCCCAGAGACCCCACTGCTGCTCTCTGTTGCAGTGACTGGTTCTGCTATAGTGCTGTTGCTAATGTTTGCTGTTGTAACTACTTCGGCTTCGGCATTAGCAGTGTTGTTTTCATCAATGTTTTGAGTAATGTTAGTACTTACTTTTTTTTTTTTTGAAATAATAACATTACTTGGGGGAAAAAATCGAATTTTCATTGCTTGCTGTTGTTTACCACTGTTACTGTGGAAAGCTCCCCTGAGGAGAAGTTTCCCCAAAAAATCATTTCCTCAAATATTTAAAACCATTTTCACAAAACCATATTCCCCTGTTTCAAACCACTATGCACCTGCAGCCACCACTAGGTCATGCTGCAGCACTCTCAGCACCCCCTTCCTGCACCTATGGTTACAGACAGAGAACCTGAAATCATAATGCCTGTTGCCACAGCTATTGCTGGCATGGAGGCACAAAAAGATATTTGCTGGGAGTATGACATCTCCTGGAAGTTTTACCTTAAAGAGGTGAGCAGACAGGAGACAGCAGTTGGTTCGCTGGCTTATATCAGAAGTTAAAATATATCTGTAGATAAAAACACATCTCAGGAGCAGGTAAGTTTAAAAGGCAAATAGTTGCAACACACACAAAAATTACATTTAATCTGTAATGAAAATCAAAGAAACTTACTGTGCAATCTTAGCAGTGAGCCCAGCAGCCTGTAAACATCCCCAAACTCCAGCCTGCTTCAGGGGCTGTTGCAGGGAGCCACTCCCAAAGGACACACCATCCCATTTCTCTACAGCACCTGAGCTCTGTAAGGCACAATCTATAGCTTTCCTCCAGTATGAATGTGCTGCCCTGTAGACAAAACACAGACAGGAATTAAATTATTATAAGAATGTAAGGAAAATCACAAAAAACTAAACTTAAAAAATGTTGCTCTATAACTGCAGGTAAATGCATACAACAAAATGCTGTAGGCTTATCTTAACACTTATACATGCACACTCTGGGGATAAAACAAGTTTCTAACCCCATGTTTCCATTGTAGAACTGTAGGTCGCCCATTTCATGCAGTGCCATAACTTTAAGGGAGTCATGACCGTTGGCCTCGAGAGACTCTGAAGAAAAGTTGGACAGAGATGGGAAAGAAAGTAAGACCTCTGAGACCCTAACAACCTGGCACATACTTCATCCTATTCTACTTTAATATTCTTTAGTCTTTCTGAAACACATATTCACATCACATCAACTCAGTGTCCCACCTACTGGCAGCTTGTCAGTTCTTGCCTTGTTTATGTAAAGTGTGCTATAGACATCTTACTAGGTACTTTATAAGTATTTTGTCTTTCTTACTAATGGAGGTGGTGTAGGCAGCAGTGACAGTCGGCATGTGATCAGGGCTGATAGCGAGGCTGTAAAGAGCATTTGGGGTACTGTAGTCTTCCACTGTCAGGTCATGAGGTTCAATGCTCGGAGTGGGCATAACAGCTAGACTGAAGTCCACCAGGCTTGCTGAATGGCTGAAACCTCTGCTCGGACAGTGCCGCAACTGGGTTGCAAAACCTGGAGAGGATCATGTACAGTGCCAGAAAGTGGGAGTTTCAAAGAGCTGTTGTGTGAGAGTGCATGTGTGTGCGTGTCCACTCAACTACCACTGAACTCACAGGGCTGTGTATAGGCCAGAAGCAACCGCAGTAATGAGCGACTATGCTGGAAGATCTGAAGGCAACGTGGTCTTCTCTCAAGAGCTTGAGAGTAACAGTGCAGTGTGTCTTCTACATCCAGAGGAACGCACACAAGGGACATGGAGTGCTTTATTTCTGCACCTTAGACACAGAACATATGCATGAAAACAGTGCAACATGTCCACACATTTGATCTTGTCTGTTTTATATAACATTGTGATAAACTGCACAATTCATACGATAGTATCTCACTGTTCTACCATTTCTATGTTATTTTATAATATTTCTATAGTTTCAATTGTAGAGCAGCCACTAACGTTTCCTACAATGATACAGTATGTTCTGACATGAAGCTGATTGTTCAAACCTTTAAGCTCAGCTGGATCACGTGGAGTGCAACTTGTGAATACTGCTTTTTTGTGAATGGGCTGTTGCTGTGTAGAGTGAGGGGTCCACCCACTGAACAGCTGGCAGCCTGCGTAGCTCCTGTAAGTTACCTGAAATACAGAAAACAGTGGCAAATATATGCACATGTAGTACAACACACACAATGTATTATACTTTCAAAAACATACGATGTAAATATGTTTCTAGATATAATTTTGCTGAATGACTAACTGTATTCTCACAACATTAGCATAAGATTTCATACATGCTTAGTTATTTCCTAAATGGTTTTGTGGAAGAATAATGACATACTATCTTGGCATCACAAAGAAAAGCAAAAAAAAAGCCTGAAAAAAAAATACATATACTGTACATATTATCTTGATAGGCAATCAAATATCCCTGAATATTTCTACAAACACTTTAACTGGCTTTTCTTTGTTACACTATCATACAGAGCTTGAACATGTTACTGTGTATGTGCTACCTTCTTGCCAGTGGTCTTCTGTGTTTTGACATGGTGTGGTTGTGGGACTGCAGGTCCTCCGTAAGAACTAATCCTTTCAAGCAGCCTCCTCTGAGCGTGAACCAGTAGAGGAGTTATGATCAAGGCATAACGTTCCCTTGGATACACATACAGATGTAGGCACACACACACACACACAGGTTAATGAGAAAAAATGTTAGGAAAAAAGCAGAATTTGTGTCAGCATCTACAAAAATATATTTTAATGCTTTAAGTTAATGGTTTCTGTATATTACCCTATTGAGAGTATGTGCTGTTTTCATCTGTTCATATGTGTTTTCTCCTTATGACTAATAGTTTCAAAATTGGAAAGCTCCACTTAGATTTCCTTTACTGATAAGAACCTGCCACTCTGAGTCTCTTCCAAACGTTTCTATACAAATGTTTTATAATTTTATGTGATATTAATTTAATAGGTGCTTTATACAAATACAAATTTTACTCACCGTGTGTATGAGTTGTACAGTAAGGCAAAGTGGGCCAGGCTTTCCCATTTGCCGCTGTTATGGAGCCACTCCAGAGTGTGCAACACCAAGGTGCGGACCCAACGCAGATTCACTTGGGTGCTGTCATCCAGTGGGGCTGAGAACTGGAAACTGGATTCTAGTTCTTCCTCTGTCAAATCATGGTCATACAAACTCCACAGCTAGTAGGAACAAAGATGAAGTTATAAATAGGGTTGTAATTATCATTATATTGACTGTTTCTAAGCCCCAAAAATAACCAATTGCATGTGGGGGCATTTCTACAAAAAATTCCAACAGGAATAAGCTTCCATATGACCAGGTATTTTCTCAATTTGGGGATAATACTGCAAGGTCTAGACCTTACTATGTAAAGTGCCTTGAGATAACTTTTGTTATACAAATAAAATCGAATTGAAATTGAAATAGCTGTACATTTCTTTTTGCTCAGGTGACAAGATAGAGACTGTAGTGACCACAGCAATCAGTGGCAGCCTATATACTGCAACACACTTTGCCATCTAGATGCTTTATTTTAATAATCTATTAGAAAGGAATATTTATGTCTGTGAGTTTTTTTAAACAGATATCTAGGTGTGTGTAGCTACATGTGGCACTTACACCTAGCTTGTTTATCATGTCCATAATTAGGTCAGTAGACATCACCAGCAGCGGGGTAATGGTGGTATGCAGCTGTTCCGCTGTGATGATGGAGGGAGGTTCAAGCTGAGCAGCTGTCTGTACTAAGAATGCAGTTTTGCAGCTTTGGTCCCACACAGTCTGACACACACATTGTAGAGTGGTCCAATGGTTACCACGATGGGCCAACACCTGGAAAAGATTCAAAATAGATGCATAAAATATAATACAAACGAAGCAGGAAGGTAAAGTCAATAGCACATACAGAAGATATTGTGTAGTATGTAACTGAACAACAGAATCAATGCATTGTGAAAAACATTTGTAGTTTTCATACAGTTATAGACAAACAGAGCCTGGACTTATACTGTACTGCATGTGTGTACATATGTGCGTATCTTTGTTCATGTGCAGACAGTACCATGGCCCTTCGGAGATGTAAAGAAGCTTTGCTAAGAGAGTCCAGCAGCAAGGTAGCAGTGCCTCTGTGCAACTCAATCTGCTGTTCCACAGGCTGAGAGGAGTCCTCTCCCTTCTCACAACTCTTGCCTGCAAAGTCATCAACTCCAACCTCTGAACAAAAAAGAAGGGACAAGTGGTGAAATCAGAGTGGGTTTTTCTTCAAATTTTTCAGTGTGTTATTTTCCTCACCCTCCTTTTTGCTCCTGCTTTTGTGTGTAGCCATGTCTTCCCTAGGACCACAGTGAGAGGAGTCTTTCTCCATGACAACCTCATGTTTAGAAGACTGTGAGAGTGACTGTGGGTTCCTCCACACCATGACACCAGAGTAGGCCAGGGAGAAACACATGGGATTTAACTGGCTGTATCTGAGCAAAGCACATACAGTACATAATATCATGAGTATAAATAAATAAGAGAATACAGAAGGTAGAGTAATTCCTATTTTTAACACTAGCCATACCAACAATGATCACATATACTATAGTATTTATCCCGAGATAACAAAACACTAAATATAACCAAAAATGATTAAATAACTTGCCCAGCAACAGCATGTCTGTATATGTAGACATAACTGAAACTGGTCAACAGTTCCCAGAAAAACTGAACTAAAGGGGATGGTGTCTTGTGTGTGAACCTATACTGCAGGGCTCCTCCATGCAGATGGTCCAGGCCTTGGTAAGGCAGTGCTAAGTGTGCCTGAGCCATGCTGTAGTTAAGATGTGACTTCCACACTCTCTCTTCACAGCATATGTTCCTCAGCTGAAGCTGTTTCTTGTGGCGTTGCACCACAGATGACATCATGGCTAGCAGGTTTTCCACAATCTGCATCTCCCTACAGACACACAGAGTAGTTCAGGCCACATGTGTTTATGTGAACTCTCAAACACACACTTACACACAAATACTGTACAGACATCCCCAGCACAAAGTTAAGCACACACACATATTGTACCTGGAGGTTCTCACTGTTTGAAGCATCCTGTGCGGCAATTTCTGCTTTAGTTTCTTTCTTGTTTCATCATGAGAAGGTGGGTTTTTGTTCTGCTTTAAAAAAAAAAACAGCACAAAGTATTTTGTATTATGACCACATTCAATTGTTCCTTTTTTCTTTAGGGTACAGGTACATAGAAACCAGAAACCAGAACACTTTGTTTCACAACCTGTAATAAGATTGACTCTCTGCATGTACACGAGAGGCACGTAAATAGAGCTAACAAACAGTATCTCTTTAAACAATTTTCACATATGCACACAGACAGATTCATTCCTAAATAATATGGATTCATAAAAGCCTGTCATGATTCTGTTTCTTCTGCTTCCGGTGTCATGCTTTTATTCTGACACCACTTCCTGTTACGGTGTCATTGCAGCTATGGATTCTTTACCCCTAATCAGTGACAACTGTTTGCACCTGTTGTCACCCCTTTATAGGCAGCTTCCTCCCACCAGGAAGCCACCAGATTGTTCTAACTCATGTTCAGACTCCAGTGTTTCTTCTTGTGCCTGTTATTCCAGCCCTGACCCCGGATTGCGTTGTGACCACCAATTACTGCCTATCCCTTTTGATTCTGTTTGTATTCTGTGCATTGACTTATGAACTTCCCTTACTGACCGTTCTTCTTGTGGATACCTTGGATGTGTGAGTTTGCTGGCTCTGACCCTGGATTGGATTATCGACCTGAGAGTGATATATGTTGAATCAGACTCCTGCATTGTGTACAGTTTGTTTGTTACCAGTGTTCTTATTAAAGAGTCAGTGTTCTGCTTTTACTCGTCTGGTCCTATAATTGAGTTCACCCCCGACATTATCGGCAGCTTTACGCGCTGTCCCTGACAAAAGCCCATAGGACAGTAAGCTTGACAAGGTCAATCCAGTGATGGCAACATCTGGAAACAGGAGAGATGCTGCCTCAGCTGCTTGGTAGATCACTGACCATAAAGTGTAAATTTAAAAAAAAATGCACCTAAGTTCAGTATAGCAGGATAAAGTATGTCTTTGTGTGCCCATAAGTATATTTACATATTTGTATTTTCACCTGGGGTGGCTCATTTCCTTTCTGAGCCTGAACACTATTTCTTCTTTTACTCTGACTGTTTCCCTCCAAACATTTGGTGGACAGTCCCATCGCCTCGTCACGTCTGACAAAGAGAGCACCATTCACACACTGTCAAGTCTTCATCAGTGTAAGTAAAATAGCAAATATTTGTAATAAGTTCCATAATCAACTGCAATAAGAGCCATGAATAAGTAGATAGCAATGCATTATTTGACATTTTGACTAGACCAGTAATATTTTGGATATGAAAGGACACAATGATTATGAAGCTGAAGCTGTATTTTTAAAGAGGTACAGGGTGAAAGCATACGTGGAAAGAAATTCAAACATGCTTTCTCCCCATTTTAACACAAGGTCTGGATGGCCTTCTTCCATGGTTCTCTGGAGTAACAGTGCCGCATACTCGGTGAAATACGCTTTATGTCTGAGCTTCATCACTGTAATGAACACCCACATAAAAACAAAGGTGTGAATGAATAAGATAATTTATTCATTAAAAAAGTAAGTACACAGTATGTGAGTGTGTACTACTTACCATGCTGGTAGGCATCCTTTAATGTGCTGCTGGAGACCAAATCATACAATATGATAGGATCCTCACAGCTAGTCAGTGGGTGAGAAATCTCTACAGAAATAAAGTCAGCTGTGTTAAATACGTGTCTATTATTAAACAGTAACATAAAATTATAGTGTCGTGCTGCATTTTCACGCATACTGCTGCATTTCATTTCTTATTCTCAGCTTTCATTGAATGGTCATTATGCTGTTTTGGCATATTAAAAGAAAAGCATTCTGTATGATTCTGTCTCCAAAAGCCATAAAATATTCTGTCACCAAAAGTGTTGAAATAAATGTCAATACGTATTTTCAACAAACGTGGCTTTAATTATGAGTAAAGGCTATAAACAAGGCTATAAATGCTGTAACATCACCTAGTTTTTCAGTGTCCTTACCATTGTCAGTGGGGAGAGTTGCTCCAGATGTGATTCTTTTCTTGTTCTTCACATGCAGTGCCTTCAGCTGAAGACTCATCTTTATTTCACCCTTGACTGCAGCATGATCTACTGACTTAGACTGAACATACATACACAGACAAACACAGAGAAATAGTAGCACTATGTAAGATATTCTTTAGTTGCTGTATATTTAACATTATTTATTCTTAACATCACCTAAACCTGTTTCTTTGTTTCTTCTCCTAATCTAGCCTCATTCCGTGAGTGAGACTAAGGCTGTGTTCACACAGAGTTCACTCCACATTGAAAAACACTGCCCTTCACATGCATTAGAATGGGGGAATTCATTCCTAAACTGGACTTCTCTGACTGTATTTCATTGTCTCACTGGTACATGAAACAACATCCCCACTAACGCTGCACCCTAACCTTTTTTTTATGCAGGAGGCTGCATTAAAACAATCTCTGTGTGAATACAGATAATGTCATGAAATGATTCTGCATGTTTCCACTGTTACTTACACCCACAGCTTCATTGGCAAGACTACTGATTTGCAGCTGGGAGTCATAGACCTCCTGGAGCAGCCTGCGACCACAGTCCATCATCCCAGAAGCCATTTGATGCTCCCTGAGCACACGTGATGCCTGGCCAGAAAAAATGAGAACTTATTTTGTACAAAGTTCTTGTCTGTTTGTCATTTGAGATATCTGGGTTAGGAAGTCTAGAGTTGATGCAAATTTTTAGCATGCAGCTCACACATGGTACATAGGCAGACAAACCTTTGACAGATAGTAAGTGATGCAGGCTATCATGTGCATAAATGACTCAGAGATGTTTCTAGTCCATTTTTGCTTGAGAACACCTGAATTGTCCTCCAAAACTATCAAGCATTTCTTTAGCACCTGAAGATCAGAGCACAGACACAGGAATAAACACACATAGCTATTAACAACTTATACTTTGTAATATGTTGTATAACTTTGCCTTTGAATGACAGAATACTGAGGCTTGTATGGATGAGGTTTTAGCCTACCTGTACCACAGGGTCACAAAAGATTTGATGAAAAATCAGAGGTGCCAAGAGGCCATAACAACCTACTACAGCTTGCATGGCAGCAATACCGTCATTCAACCACATCGCCAAGTCCATGGCTACCAGCATTCGTTCACATTCTGCCACTCTGGCTTCCTGCATACACACATGTGCATATATCATTTATTTATGTACATGTTAACTTAAAAGATATAAATATTGTTCACATCAGTACAAACAAAAGCAAACTGTTTGGTCTTACTTGTTGTATGCTGATGTCATTACATTTGGCAAATATAAACCTACTTCTCTAACCAGATCAGGTGTTACCTGTTCCCAGATAAATGGTCCATTGTCACTGAATGAGTCACAGTAGAGCAATTGCTGTTGAATGTTGATTTCTGTCTCAATGAAGATTGATGTGAAAAACAACTGACACAGGTGAGAAGAGGAGCGTTGTAGGGTCTGTTTTTGCAGACTTCAGCATGGTAAATGAGGAAAGAATAGGAGGAAATAAATGAATGCAAAGAAATAGAGACTCCTCAACTTTAACTGGGTGGATATGTTTCCTTCCTCACCCTGTGGTAGCAAGTCTATTCTGTGTGTTTTGGATCCCAGGGTCAGAGAAGGTATAGTGGTTCCACAGTTCCCTGCAAGCTCTCTTTGCTACATCATAGTGCTTTGTTTGAAATGCCACCTGAGGAAGGAGTCAAAAAGGCTATAGTCACAATCCTGAGTTTTCTCTGGCTCTCTGGGCATCAGTATTAAAGTAACTTTCAGTTTGCCATTTTCAAAAATCCCAACAATGATCAGATATATACTGTAAGTCAGTGTTAATCGTTAATACCTACAGCCTCTCCATCCTAATCTATACCCAAATTAGGTAGCATGTACATATGTATTTGGGTGAATGTGTTGAACAAAGGCTCTGCCATTCTTCCCCCAGAAGGTTTTCAGCACCAGCACCTGGACCCAGTGTGTAATGAGTGTGTGAAGTAATAAACAAGTAACACTTGGTCTGGGCTCCATTTGACTAGTGTGCATACCTGAGCCAAGTGAGCCCATGTGGGCAGCAGTGGTACAAGTATGGATGCCAGCAATGGCAAAGTTGTTGCGCCTATGGTGTTTCCCAGAAGCTTGCCCTGGCTGTTGTAGGCTGCAACAGCAAACACATATTTCTGGTTGGGCACCAGCCCCTCCACCCTCAGCACACATTCACCAGATACTGCTGGTACCTGGAAACACATAAAACACAGGCCCAATATCATGGACAAACACCAGGTCATGCAAATGGCAAAAATTGTGGCCCACTAGACCTGACATTCTTTGATGAAAGAACTTAGTTATACCATGTATCCAGTTCCTGGCAGGCTGCAGTCTCCGAGGCGAACTTTCAAGTTAATGCCCACAGCTGCACGGCCACAGAGCTGGTACCAGCACACCTGGAATTAAACAAAAATACAAAGAGGTGAAAAGAGTAGGAGATGTGTTGGATCGTTTACTACTTGTGCGATTAGTAAATTAACAAAATTAAAAGCAAATCTCACTTGTTCCTCCAAATTATAAGGTGCTGGGGCAAAGGTTAAGGAGTGGCCAGTTCGTAAGAGTAGGATTGGGGGAGGCGGGGGGTGTTCTACCTCCTTCATCCCTTTGCCTTTATTTTCAGCTGGAGTCTTAGGGATAGTGGAGAAATACAATTTTCTTTCCTCTACTCCTGCTTTTTCTATTAGGGAGGAGGCATCCTGGCAAGCGTACACACAGACAAACAAGTTGAATATTCATTACACTTCATTAAAGCTCACCTCAAATACCAGCACTCAGCAAAAGTGGCTACAACAGAGTCCTTTCACTTACACAAAATGTACTGAAATTAAATGCACCACTGGCAGCCTAAGTAAAAGGTGTAAAATCCAAAAACTGACTGCACTAACTGCATAGTGTGCAGTTCTGTGAAAAATGGTACTAGATATAATAGAAACCATAGTAGGATATTTATTACAGTTAATCCTTATTAACAGGAGATCGGCTCTGTGCTAAATATTACTAACTATGTTAGTAAAATGTGAAAATAGTTTAAATAAGCAGCTGGCATGAGATTTATCAGCTTTTATAAATTACATGTGTCTGTGTCTGTGTCTACAAAAGTATAAATGTCGGTGCATGTGTAACCTCTAGCAGACTCTTGGTTTTGCTGCAGCCATTGGGTTCCATGTTGTATACCAGTAAGGCTTTCTGCATCAGGAAAAGAGCTTTGGACACCTTGTTCTTCTTAATCCGATCCAGTAGTTCAGATTCTGCAACTAGAAACAATAAAGAAAGTCTCAGGACAGACCATTATATTCAGGGGTAGGACTAAAACACAAGGAAAAGATGCAACTGAGGGAAACGTGGAGGTATGTAAGAGACTTGGGATATGCAGTTGCATCTCCATCTTGTGCTCTGTACTCAAACCATGACACAAACTCAGTGAAAGCAAAAAGGCTAATAAATTCTCAGAAATCAAGAGTGAGTAAATTTGTCAGTATGGCAGTATGTCTGACCTGCATTTAGCTGCAGTAACTTGAGGGAAGCCCTGTGGTGGATGATGTCAAACTCTAGATGAAGGTCTGTGGCAAGCAGGGGCACACGTGTGAACTGAGTGTCCTGAGAGCCTTTAATATTTGATTCTGCCTTGATTTCCTCTTCTTTTTTCTTCTCACATATTTCATCTTCTTTATTTACTTCTTGTGACGATGTCACAGAAGACAGAGAGGGAGTCGATAGAGGGCGGGAACAAAATTTCTGTTGGTACAAGACAAAAACAAGTTGTTAGATGTTTGTATATTTTCAATCTAAAATTATTAAATTTTCTCTGTATGTGTTCCCATCTTAGAACACAGTGTTGCGATCCTAAGTCAAGGCTACACCTGGCTTTGAATACAATGAATACATGTCACCCTAAACTTTTACCAAACTCTTTTATAGTACATGAGATAACAGTACATGTTGCCTACCTGCATGAAGGCAGAATCGGTGATTGCGGAGCAATCTTGAGGAAACAGTGTAGCTACACCTTTTTCCAGAGCTTTAAGACCTCTCTGCACCACCTCACATGCTTTTTGAAGAAGCTCTACACTCGAGCTCTGCAAGCACACACAAACATACACCTTGTGCAATGCATTTTGGTTGTAATATTTCTGAAAAATCTAAGATTACTACAAATTGGCACTATATATGTAATTTGTTCTTCATTCACATGCATCCTCTTTACAATAAACAGAACAATCATTTGATGCTATTCATAGAAGATCAGTCTATTCACATACCTCAAGAAAAGAGAAAAAACTTGGCTTCATACTGTCACCATCTGCTTCATGAGCTGCCAGAAATAAGACATAAGAATAATACTGTTACAGCTATGATATATATAGAATACACTCTGTGTACATTTGTGAAACTGTACTAGAAGTTTACCCAATAATAAATACCGTAACAGAGTGATATTCTATAAAGCATAAGATCAAGTACAAAACTTGCATGACTTCAGCTGTACTACATACTGAAGTAGGGCAGATAGTAGAACCTACTGTAATTCCTCACCTCGATGGTGTGTTTGTTTACAGCGTTCTGCTGCACTCTCTAGCAATATGGCCACTGTGTGGACCATCTCTGCCATCATTATGCAATCAACTGTTGCCAGGTTACAGGCAAAGGCCACCTCACACAGCACAAATAGGCACCACAGCCACTGCAAATAGGTTCACAAATAATGATACATACAAATTAATGGGAATAGTGAATTCAAGTTCACATATGTGATTTATTCTGTTTAGTTTACTCAGCATTTATGAAAATCTATCTGCGTAGAGGATAAAAGCAGCAGTTTATATTTGAAAATAATGTGCTAATATGTCACCTGAGGAAGGCAACCATTTCAGTAATGGTTACCATTTTTTATACATACCTTGGAATAGTCTGCCTTTTCAATGTAGTGTGTAAACTCTGGATTTTCCCTCCGCATCACCACTTTCACTTTACTCCAGAGAAATAGCACAACATCCAAAACCAGGTCCCCATCCGGCTGCACCTCCTACACAAACACATGAGTGTATACAAATTTAAAAACCCCTCTTCTTCTTTGAACACTACCTCTAACATTAATATGAATCCTAATCCTTGACAGCTCAATCACCAAACACAAGCACATACTTACAGGAGCAGAACCACAAACAGACTTGTGCAGAGTGTCTACCAGGACGATGAACTCATCATTCATTAAAAATAGAGACTTGTGTCTTTCTGTTGGAAACATCAAACAACAAAACCACATTATAATACAGAGATAACTGGCCCAGCAATGAGTAGCCTATAAGTAGCCAATGAACACGAAAAATCATCTCAAAGTGTGTTAGTTAATACTCAGCAGGCAATAACTAGGTTAAAGTGTTTTCTGTCTGAAGAAAAGCACAAGCACTGAAGGAAAAGAAAACAGAAGTCTGTTCAGATCACTGAAGTCCAGAGAAGACTAAACTACATGTGATACAGTTTTAATTTTGCTACCATCAGTCATGTTGTTAACTTTAGGATGGCTCTTCTGGGAAGACTGCAGACTGTTGAAATGGTCAAGTAAAGCAAGCTCCTGCTCTGCCCTCCTGAATGGCTGACCTTCCATACCCTGAAACGGAGAGACACAGACACACTTGATATTGCTCAGAAACACAGCACAGACATTACATTCAAACTGGAAACACAAGAATTGATAAAAATGAGATGTTTTCACCATGTTTTCAGAATTATGGGAATTACAGCAGATCATGTGCTACTCACAGACAAAACCTGCAGCATCTCTCTGGCAAGTTCAGTGAACGCATCTGGCTGCTTGTACTGAAACAACAGCTTAATGAACCTCACTGCAGATATGATTGGTATTTTGTTTTCTCCTAGCAACACAACATATCACATAATTATACACCGATTTAAAAAACACTGCACAAAACAAACATATTGCCACACACAACTACATGATGTACATGCTGTAACATGAAGGAAAATGACAAAGAAAACTGTGACTAACCTGCAATGGCTAAATCTATTAGACTGGATGCTGATGTCACTGCACTAAGACACATGCACAGATGGTCAGCACTCCTTTGCTCACCACTAGTTGCAGCTCCTTAATATACAGGAAAACACAAGCACATTATTTAATACATATGATAACTATTCCACACCCTAAATACCAAATTACATTTTAATCATTTTAAAGTATTTGCAGCACTTCTATGCTTAATTATGCACTTTACTGTAATCACTGCAGTGTTTTTTGTGCTATGTGTTTTGTTTGTTTTACTAACCAGATAAGATACTGATGCCAGCAGACAGGAGTTCCAGGATCACCTCTTGTACCTCTGGTTCATCTGGCCTCCTTGTATTCAGTGGGTGTCTGGTGCTGTCCCATAGCGCTTCTAAGATGCCACAGAACTGTGCTGCGCCGCTGTCAAACAAGCCCATTAGCATGCGCTCTGTTGTGTTACGGGGCCATGGCATCTACAGTGCATACAGACCGTCATACACTTTTAGGTAATGTAACAAGAACATAATTAATTCACAGAATCTGTTGACCACCTAAGCAAACAACCTGAGCCTTTTTCCATTGTCATAAATACTCTACTATTGTAAAGTAAGGCTTAAAACAGTGACAACAGTACACAGTATTTAAGATTGAATATGATGATATAGCATTAAAGTGTCTCTTATTACATTAGTAGCTATGTCTTTGAGGGTGCATTTGGTTTTGACTCTGAATGTGGGTTTGGGTCTCCTTCTGGTCTCAAACACCGCCCTCTTAAACATCATGGTGCCCAGCTGAGAAAATAGATCAGAATCACCTTTAATTTGATAAACCAAAGAAAAGCATATTGACACTGTAAAGACAAATCAAAAAAGCTGCTAACTTGGGTACAGAAAGTTGTAGGAAAATTAAAACATACTCAGAAGGCACCAAGCTGTACGCGCCTGCATTCATTCATGTACAGTAAGGGCTATCTAATCACTGAAAGTGCTGTATCCATACACACATGCTTAACATAATTTCAGTGACAAACATTATGAATGCAGAGCCACGCTTTGCTTTTAAGGAATAAATTGAGAGAAAAAAAAATGTGAAAATAAAATGTGGCTTGTCATGCAAATGGTGCTTTTAACTGAGTAGATACTGTATGTAGATTGGCATGGTTATATATTTATTATATATATGTTGCAACACTATATGTCACATGCATCATTTTGATGTTTTTCTATGCTGATTATAAAACACATTTATCACAGTAACAGTGTTAAGAGTGGGTGACAGGAGTCTCCTGCCTTGATAGAAGCTTCTTTGTAAGCTCTCTGGGTCTCTCTGGTGGCAGGAATTTCACTCTCCTCCTCCAGTTTTGCTAGCTCATTGATTTTTCCGAGAGCTCTCCTGGCAAATTCCTGAAAGTATTTAGAGAGACACAAACAGCCATACAAATGGGGAATAAAACTGTCAAAATAACTGAGAAGCTGATTTTAAGAAACTTTTCTTTGGGACTAAATAAGCATTATATATATAAAAGTTCATACAAATTTCCATATATAATAAATATGTCAAGTATTTATCACAGTGAAAGCATTAGAAAGCAATAGATTATTTGACCTGTGTTTGCAGCATTAATATCTTGACACAGCAGATACTATACATAAATATATAAAATGAGAATTTCATCATATAGTCCTAAGGCATCTTCACTAAAGCAAATTAACACTAAACCACATCAGACTGCCGTCAGGTGGCTAACGAAAGACTGCTGACAGCTCAAATATTTGCTGGTATTTCTAACATATTATATCAGCCTGTGAATAGTCTGTTGACATTGCAATGATTGCATGTTTAAAGGTGTCTGGATGGAGATGGTGTTTGTCTTTCACCTCCGCCCGCAGTGTAGCTTGGTTGTCATAGTAACAGTGGCAGACAGCACAGTAGAGTGTGACAATCCATGGCAGATATTTAGCAGTCATCAAAGGGGTGGACAGCTCTAAACTGATACTTGCCCACAGAAGGTATTCCAGTGCCTGAATAAAATCATAAATGATGGCATAAAGGATCATAAAGACAATTATGACTTTTCACTGCATTGGCACAAACCACATTAACCAGTCTGAACCTCATTAACAAACATTAGGATTAAACTATTAGTTCCAGTCAGATTCACATAACATTTCTCACCTTCCTTTAATTTTCCTTTTCCTCTACAGTGTATCATTGAAATCTTTTGAAAAGGCACTTTGAAAGATAAATAGTCTGTAAGATCTAAAAAAAATAAATATTAGTATAGATTTCATCTATTATTTTTCTCTAAATACCTGTGCACTACAGTTCATTGTCATCAGGTAACGGCAGATAGTGTACATGTGTATTGAACCTGTAAAAGATGAGAAAGAAAAAAGAAAGACACATAATAGGAGGTTAGGTCACCAATATAGTACCTGTAGAATATTAATAATATAGTACAATCTTATAATTTATAACTTCACTTTAAACAGCAGATGAATTAACAATACTTAGATGATGCACCTATGTATTTTGAATAAATACTGCTGCTGAAGAGGGGAGCTAATATATTTGTGGGATATTCACTTGCTGCTTTAAAGTCCCTTAGATTTGTGATTTTACTGCCTATTTAGATTTGTGTTATAGCTCATCTACTTTGATTGATTTATTGATTTATTCTATATTTATTATCAATCAATCATCTACTTTATATTTCAATTGTTTTAGGTGGCATTTATGTGGACGGCAAAGTAAGAATTCCATTGCACAAGGAAACACGTTTCCTAACTGTGCATATGCCAAAACCCACTTGGACCTTGACCTTGACCTATGTAGGGTATTGTGGGAGGTTAACCTATCAGTATTTCTCTTCATTTATATTAAACTGAATAAACCCCAGACTCTAGACCATGTCTGCATTTTGAGTCCTTCCTTGCCTTGATTGTTTGATTTCTTGCCTTCTCCAGTTTCACACCTTGACAACTCAGTTCTTCCATAAATTTCCATTCAGAAAAGCAAATAGTCAACAAATCTTATCCAAGTTGTACTAATATACCATTATATATTTGCCAGCAGAGGTGCTCGTGTTGCTGAAAAGCCTGCATCATGATCCTGATGAAGTTCAACACGTGCAGTAGATTCTGGAGTCCCTTCTGGCTGAGGATATTGTGATTTTTCTCCTGCTCAAATATACACAGGGCATAGCCCTGCATTGCACGAATCTACATGCACACACATGTATACAATGTAAATACAATAAGTATATCAGGGTTCAGAAGCAAATGTCTAAAAAAAATCTAACTTTTATCCTAGACAAAACCCCTTATGATTTTCACTTCAGTCATACTCAAAATAGTCAAACATACCACAAACGGACACGCTAGATACAAGCTCAAATAGTACAGTTTACCTTCATGGCAAAGATGTCTTGTTCTGTATCAAAACCTTCAGGAAAGAAGCAGGCCATAAAGTGGTCCACATCTGTGATCTCAGTTATTTTCACTGGGCTAAACTGCAGCAGGTAGGGACTGTAGCCATGCAGAAGAGCCAACTGGTACAACTACAGCCAAGAAAAAAGACTAAATGACAGTTGTAAATGTGTGTGAGATCATGTACAAACACCAAAAACTAAATTGGCTCTGGTGCCCTTAAACAGCAATTCAGTAGGGTTCCTTTCACCACCTTAAAGTTAGGAAGTCTGGTTTAGAGTTTGATGAAATGCAGTTAAATGAGTAATCAACTCCAGTTGTGAAAAATATTGGCAGGTAAACCCTAGGCTACTTACTTTTATTCCACAGAGAAAATCTGCAATCTGCAACATGTGCTCCTGGTACAACTTAGAAGGCAGACGATGTTTGTACTTTATCCATGTCTCCACCAGCATTTTAATCCTTAATTGAATAAGAAAAAAAAGGCTAATGCTAAAATTGGCAAATAGGCTCTGTACGCATAGTCATATCTCCAACTATCAAACAGCAAGCTCTGATAGCAATCAGCTTGACTTTAATTCTAATTGTACAATTGGCCACCTGTTTGTAAAAAAAAACAAACAAAAAAAAAAACCTGAAGACAGTGGAATTTGCCCATGACTTACCCAGAACCCAAAGTGAAACCACTACCCTTGTTTTGTTCAATCAACAGTATGAACTATAAAATAAAAACAAATCGTGATTAAAAAACAAAGCAAACCATCACATTTGACAAGCTGGAACCACTGAATATTTTACGTTTTTATTGTAGGTGAAAAGTGACTTGAATTATAACCAATATTTCCCAATTTTGTCAATCAGCTAATCAGTTAATACACTAAAGTTTCAGATGTACTTACATCTGTTTGGTATTTTAAGTTATGACGTATGTTGTACAATAAAGCTGTCAGATAACTATAATGCAGTAAAAAAAAGCAACGTTACAACATCCCCATCTTAAATGTATTGTATGTATTGTAGTAGGATATAAGTATAAAGTGGCATTAAAAGGAAACGCTTAAGTAAACTACCTCAAATTTGTCCTTAGATTAGTAAACATACTTTACTTATAGAGGTTAGCCTAACGTTACACTCCACCACTGATGTGATGGAAAGGTGGGTTAAGTTAAGAAACGTGCAGGACAGCCAATATTTTAGTAGCAGTGGTTAGCTACTACATTACTTTATCAAAGTTTTAGGCCCACTGCGCTTCTTCCTTTTACCCATAATTTGTGTCAGCACCTGCAGTCAAAGTAAAGTCAATGTAGAGGCCTACTGGCTATTAGTATATTCACTGGTAGTGGCGGTGTTATGGCAAAGTTTAATTTCTTAGGTGCATAACAGTTAAACTAGCTAGCTATCTAGAGACAACTTTAATTAGCTACCTTTTAATCTCTTACCCTTTAGCATAAGAGCCGCTTTTGTCTTGACTGGTAGAAGTGGCTCGTCTCATCAGTTTCATAAACGAGTGAATGTCTCGTTCAAAAGCTGAAATAACTGGGTTTCTTTGATCAAGTTTCCCATAATATGAAGCTGGTAAATCCATATCTGCGGCCATAAAAGTAGCGTTAGCATTGACTTTAACCAACTAAGCTAATGTATTTCTGTTAGCCACTGCATGTCCAACACTAAACTTCATAGCGCGTGGGCTTTGTATATATCACTATGGTAACAATGCCAGACAGGAAGACTGTAGGTTACCTGTTTGTGTAAGATACCTCGTTTTAAACATGTATTCCTTAATAAAATCATGGTTTTCAACTAGACTCTATGATGGCCATGATATAAACAGCTTTACGTATCTTAACTTGAGGTACCTGTTAAAAGGGCTTTAAATTGATTTATCCACCTGTTGTTGTCGTTGTTGTTATAAATGGACATAGAAGGCGTTGCTAAAAGACCTTCAACTATTACCTGTTACACGACACATACAGAAATACCTTGTTACGCAAAATAGATGCCCCATAACTCAAAACTATTGACTTACTTACTAATAACAGCAAACAAGTTTTCCAAAATTAGAGGTCAGAAGAATTAACTGCAAACAAATTTTATCTCTCAGCAGAGTTTTCCAAAATTAGAGGTCAGAAGAAGCAAGGACGTTCTTCCTCTGTTGGAAATAGGCTACCTATCAGCCATAAATGTGGTCAAAAGTAGGGTAGTTGATCCTGTCAGGTACCTATCAGAATGGTTTACTGTACATTTATAAATGCGGTGAAATGCAGGGTGACTTATTCTGTCAGATGCTAAATTGATGCACTCCTCAATTCAATAAGAGTTTGAGGTTTTACTGCTGCAGTCTTACTTGGCCTGGTATGACCAGTAGTTATGGTGTTTAATGTTGGGTAATGTTAGTAAATTGTAGACAAATATTGCATTTTACTCATTTGTTGACTCTTGTAATTGTTGTTACTGTGATCCAGTACTGTGTTACTATTATCCTGAAATTGTTGCATAGCTGTCACACACTTACAGTTCCCAGGTCCTGCTTTTGTTAAAGCTGCCTTTTGAATCTTGCAGGGTTTGTTGTCAAGAAAATCTTGGTCTGTGATTGAGAATAGAGTGGCACTATAATAATGGTTACATGATGGTGTAAGTTTCTGTGCTTGCAGATAGCACAAGTTCGGTGTGTCAAGTTCTCCTGCATTGGAGCACACATGACTGGGAGGATGAAGCAGAGAGACAGAAAGAAATTTGGGTTGCACAACTGTTTCACAGTTAGAAGTTTATATTTTTCATCTTTTGCATGTTCTCCCTGTGCTTGCATCGGTTCTCTTGGTTACTCTGGCTTCCTCCCATAGTCCAAAGACATGCAGCTTAGGTTGACTGGCGAATCAAAATTTCCCGTAGTGTGAGTGTGTGTGGTTGTTTTGTCTACATGTACCCTGCCTCTCTCCCAATGTCAGCTGGGATCGGCTTTAGCCCCGTGCAACCCTGTTCAGGAATAAGCTGTATAGACAATGGATGGATGGATTTTTCATCTGAGCTCATAGCAAAATGATACATGCTTAGATTGTCACCTAATGCTTTCCCATACAAACTCATCAATTCCCATTCGGACACACTTCCACTCCATTCACAAACCTAAATCTTCTGGCACTGGCAGCACAGTAAGTTAATACTCTGCCACACACACACACACACACACACACACACACACACACAAGATGGGGGCATATCCAGGGGAATGAGTATGGGGGCATCAGCAGTATTTCGAGCCAGTGTCACCTCATGACCAGCAGAAGGGAGCAACCAAGAGAGCCAGAGAGAGAGACAAACCAGTCACAGTCAGACAGATGACACAATGAAGCCAGTGGAGGGGAAAAACAGTTGACATCATTGTTCCAGAAAGATCAGCCTGTTGACAGAGTCACTATGCAAGTGTGCATGGGAGGTTACAGAAGGGAGGGGGATGCAGAGGACATGAACAGCAGCAGAGCCAGGATGGGATGGGAGGGAAAGGCCTATAAATGTGGCGCAGGGGAGCACAGCAGCACCCATCTCAAACCAAGACTTAGCCTCCCTCATAATAATTTTTTCATTTTTCCTTAAAATCTCATCATGGATATCCCCATTCAGCATCCCTGGCACCGTCGAGCCTTCCCGCATCGACCCTCTGACTTCTCCTTGGCAGAACCTCTCACTGATTGGCCCCTGATGTGGCCCTTCTCCTGGATGCGCCCTTCGTTCACACGCTGGTTCAACTGGCACGACAATGAACACAGTGAGGTAAAGTTAAATTCACCAGTTTCCGTAAATTAAACTGTCATATACGTATGAATGACTGCTATCTGAAAACATATCTTAAAATACATCAGTTATCATAATCAATATACTGTAATGTGACAGATGATCAAATGCTTTAAAATAAAAAAAATGTATGTGTATGATTTGTATTGATGAATTTATATTTGAGTCAAAAATGTCACTGCTGCCAGCCATTTAGAAGTGTCTTGCACTGAGGTGACAATAACACACTGTTGTGTGTTTTATGCCCAGCTCACTCATTCCTCAGTACTTCTCCTAACAGCTGTACTGTCTGTATAGATGCGTATGGAAAAAGATCGCTTTGTCATTTATCTGGATGTCAAGCATTTCACCCCTGATGAGCTGTCTGTCAAAGTCAACGATGAGTTCATCATGATACATGCCAAACATGAAGACAGACAGGTTGGAGAGACCAGAGAGATCTGCAGAAATAGTCAAACCAAACAGATTAGGTGACACTTCACTGACATATTGATTAATTCTGTTTCCAGGATGACCACGGCTTTGTGTCGAGAGAATTTCTGAGGAAGTATAGGCTTCCTGCCGGCATGTCAGGTGCTGATGTCACCTCCAGTCTGTCACATGATGGCATGCTGATGATCACTGCGCCCCGGTCATCTCCTGGCCCAGAGCGCACTATTCCGATTTCCTGTGAAGATGAAACTAAGAAACAGAAAATGTAGAGCACAGCCTGCTGCTCCAGTTTCACTACTAACCCCAAGTGTTGCCTGTTTTTATATTTAACCTGTTAGTTGGCAGTTCTATACTTGTACGGGCAGGGTATACACGTCTAAAAGTTTAAGTGCAAATGCCTTCTAATAAAGCAGCATCTGATGTCTAACTCACTTTTAACCTGATGTCTCGTTAAGACAGCAGGGCTTTAAAACCAAAGGCCATGAACAGTTAAAAAAAAGCCTATTTGACTGGGCAGTTAAGTTTTTCAGACAGTGAGGTGAGTTGAGAGTTCATTTATTTTTTACAAGCCTAGAGAATCAGTCTTTCAACAATCCCTTTTTACGAGAACGATTCACACCACTTGTCATGTTAACAATGAAGATTAACTAATCATAATTTCAAAGGCCTCACTTATCCTCCCTCAAGCATTTGAATGTTAGTGTCTGTATTGGCCCTGCACTTTAGTGACAAAATTGTATTTGTTTATTGAACCCAAACAGTAGCTTGAAGTACCTATTAATTATGCAGAGAAATGCTAAAAGTCAGTTTAAGGCAGATCAGAGGGTAAAGCAGTCATCTCCCAACCGGAAGGCCGGTGGTTCGAATCTCAGCGCCTGCAGTCCACATGTCGAAGTGTCCTTAGGCAAAACACTGAACACCCAAGTTGTGCCCTGATGGTTAGAGCCATCGGTGTGAGTTGGCGCTGCAGATGGCTGCCTCAGTTCTGTACTGGAAACAAATTCCTTGTGTGTAACATACTTGGCCAAATAAAGGTGATTATCCTGATTATTAAAAAAAAAGGCTTCTTCTCAAAATTAATATAATAAAAAACTAAAATTGTTAACTTTATTTGTATCTACAATACAGTTTGTTTTGTTGGTTCTTTGAGTGAAGAATGAAGGTTTCTGTATGTGTGACAAGAAGGGAGTTCTTTGGAGGCATATGCAATCATTTTTAGTTCAATTAAAAAAGATATATAAAATGACTCTGGACCAGGTGAGAGGAGGAAAAGGGGAGGAAGTAGTGGACAATGAAATGAGTTGATATTTGGAGATGGACAACTTTCATCACTGGCTCCTTTTTCACTGGGGGTCGTGACCTATGAGCTGCTAAGGATGTGTCTGTGTGTGTATGCAAGAGTGGGTTCCTACAGTCTGTGCTTGTAGATGCAAATCATCCATTTATACTGGCAGCAAGCTTCTGGCATATTAACACACAAAACACCATAACAGAATAAATACTGAAACTCAAAATCACTGGCCTGCTGTGTGCTTTTCTCTGTCTATAGTATTTCTGTTTTCAGTGGAATGTCACATAACAATACAGAGTACATCTAGGGAGAAGCTGATGAATGAAGCTGCTGTCTTATGTGACTTAAAACAATAACCATCACATATTATATGCAGAGGGTTTTATTGGTTTTTATCAGGTCTAGACTTATATAACAATCATAGTAATCTTTCAGTCAAAAGTTAGTTAAATTGGCTTATTTCAGTGAAGAAGTAACATTTACCAACATGTCCATTTTGGGATTTGTGAAAAGTTTTCAGGTGAAAAATGTGTCATTTTCCACACTACAATTTCTTTGTTATTCTAGTAACAAACATGCAAATACAGTAGTTGCAATACCAGTATTATTTCCTGCTTTTACGCTGCATATATTCCTAATTCATTTTATTGTAAATACTCAGTACACCTAGATAAAAGTAATATTTTCACAAATATATATTTTGCTATTTAAAAAAAAAAGTATTAGATGTTTTGTAGTATTATATATTCCATTAAGCCATACTGCCAATGTCACTCATATTAGGTTTTTTATTTTGTGTTACACAATCATCAAGAAAATGTATTAGTATTACAAACTGCATAAATCACAATTTATATTTGTCTCTTTTTAAAAAAAAACAAAAAAACAACAACTTTGTTTAACCCTCACGCCATCCTTTAAAATCCACCCAAAAGTGTCCCTCTGGATAAAAATGTACTTAGGGATGCATAAGGGCTAATGCCATTTTGTTACACGGCAAACAAATATAAGCAAAATAATGGAGCATTACAGAGAATGCAGACTAGAAAAAGTTTATATTAATGAATACAACAGACAAAGCATTAAACAGCAGCATTTTTTGCTTCAGCTCTTTGAAATTTTGATAATGAAATCATTTATTGCTGTGTAGAGCAGGAGTGTGGATATATATATCAACATAGTTGAGAGGAACGTTGTTCTCTTTGTTCTTGAACGTGACATTAGTAACAGTAGAAGTCCCATTTCTGGAAATAAGAAAGATATAATTAGGAGAAAGCATTACATTGTGCGTACATTTATGTACATGTGTGTGTGTTCACTTACAGTAGTTTTGACTTCACTGTTGGCTGGCATGAGAAGGTGCATCTCCTCCACTACGCTGCTGGGGAAGTGGCCAATGCGAGCCTCCTGCTGTCCATAATAGGAGTCTTGTACCTGCAAACAGATGACACAGACAGAAGGTATTGAGAGGTGAATGTTACATCTTCATGACCTTTTAAATCTTTTTTACATGTAGAGTGAAACTTAATTTATTTATTATCCCATATGCATGTTCGTTTCACTTACACTGCCAGCCCAGAAGAGGTTCCCTCTGTCTTTCAGCATTGCATAAACATAGACAAGCTGCCCCTGCCTGATGGGGATGAACCTGCAGTCTCCAGGGTAGTAGTCCTGCAGCGCACGAGCTATCAAGATGGGATCTGTGCAGAAATATAGAGGCAGACTCTTGTTAGTTGTTGACAGACAGGAGGCAACATTTACAGGACTTATAATATTAATTTTATTTTTATAAAATTAAAAAAAAATCAGCATGTGTATTACCATTTCCAGTACACGATTACATCATAGTTAACTAGCACAGCAGTGACCAGGAGTAAAACAAGTTAGCAAGTGAGCTACTTACGACTGCATTCAGAGTCAGCGCAGAGTTTCTTGTCAGAAAGTTTTGGCATCTGCCTTCCAGCTTCAGAAGTTGGCAGCAAAAGCCACAGTGAAAGAGCAAGCCAGAGTTTACAAGGCATGTCTCTGTGAGAATGCATCTACTGATCTAATGGTCTTATTTTCTGCTTGATGAGCGTCTTGTAGGCTTTATTGCTCCCTTCTGTTGGTGTCTGTGAGGAGGAGGTATAGTAACGGTAGTCCCCTTTTCTGCTCTCCCTACCCCCTGCCTCAAACATGAACACACACACAGAGCTCCTTTCAAACCCTTCAAGCAGGTAAACAGGATGTTGGGATGAGGAGGAGGGCCAGACTGGACAGACCCCTGCTTGTGTCCTGACCTTCCTCTCTCTCCATTTCTCACCTTGTGTCACTCCCACTCCAACAGCAGAGTGTTAGACTTTGTCTCAACATATTTCTCAGAGTTAACCTATGCGTTCCCTACTCAGAGCAGGATCTTCTGTGCTGTCTCTCAGAGAAATCCTTCCTCTGTTTGTGCTCTTTACCTTTTCAGCTCAAGAGGTGGAGCCACTGGCTGTATTTGCATACTTTATGTTTCCACTGCCAAGGAAACCAGCTGAGCCTCCCTTGTGCAAACACTCCCAAACACACACACACACACACACACACACACACACGCACACTTACTAAACAGGAAGACTATACCTGTTTGGTGTGAGTTGGCTGGGAACTGACGGGTAAGAGATTTAATTTTTGTTCCTTTGGTAAAACAAAGTCTGTCAGTTCTCATAATGAAAACAAATCATGTTAAAGTAAGAATCCTTACTTTGTTTTTAAGGTATTTTAAATAGGATAAACAGCATGAATCCATGGTGGCGGGTTGTGTTAACAGGTGAGAAGGCAGAGAATAAGATTAAGCTTAAAGACAGAAAATGACAGGGGAGCCTGAGATATCAGATGGCGACTGCATTATAACCAGAATTTAGTTTCTTTAGACAGAAGTCATATGAACATGACCCTGCAGGAACTGGACATAACACAGTACCAGTGTCTTATTACTTACAAAGACTTTACTAAAACGTATTAACTAAGACTTGCCAGGTGGACAATTGTCTCTTAATGATTTTGTTAAAATCAGTTAGCTTAACACGCCAGATTTCCTGTTGTATTTAGCGTTATTAGTGAACCACAGAGCCTTTGGAATTTAGGGAGGGGAGCAGAACAAAGCTAAAAGTGGAGCTGAGATTTTGTTCTGAGGAACAAAAGCACCTGTCAGACAAAAGATCTCCTTAAAGGCCATGTAAGATAATATCACTACAACAACAACAAACTTGTCTGACACTTGCAGAATTTATCATACATATCCTGAAATTTACAGTTAATCACTTTGTTTTCTGTGTTATTGAAAATCTTTTCTTGCCCACAGAGTTGTCTGTGAAAAGGATACCATACTAGCATACTAGACCACTGGCAGTGAAAACAACATTTGGCAGAGACAGACTGGGTTATACAACACACTCATCAAACCGCTCCAGATCAGAGCAAAGAAGAAGAAAAGAAAAGGATTCCTGATTTTACAAAAAGATTAATGGCTGTCCAGCAGCCATCTGTATGAGTGTGGATTACAAGGCTTAGGATAATGCTTTCTAACTGAGTCCAACAGACGTGCAACTGTCAACAATGTTCACCACCAGGAAAAACAGTCTTCCCTCTCCCAGCCTGGAGGACTCTTTCTTCCCTCTCTCCTCACCCTCCACAGTCTCTCTGTCTCTAACTATGCCTTCATCCACATCCTCTCCTGGTAGCATTGACAATGGAGGAGGGATAGAGACCGATCTGATACTGGCTGCAGAACTGGGACAGGCTTTACTGGAGAAAAATGAGGAGCTGGCAGCCTCTCTGGAGCAGAGAGAGAGGGAGGTGGAGGTACTGTAAACTGCGTTATTATAACGGTGTCACAATTATGCAAACAAAAGCTGTAGTGAGAAGGGAACAAAAGGACCATTGAATATTTTTAAAACCACAAACAAGCAAATGAGTGAGCAAAGTCCACAGTACACCTCATACTGTACAATAGAAACTACAGATATCCCATCCTATTCAACAAATACATAGGATTAAAAACACAGATGTTAAACTGACATTAAATATATCATTTAAATGTGGGGGCATTACAAAAATGTTGTGAAAAAAATAAAATACATTTTCTATTGATTACATTCTTACATACTACTCTGACACTTTTGTCTGTGATATTCAGATACACATGTGTGGGACTGGTATGTAAAAATCTGACATTGGACAGTGGGCTACAGTTAAAATGCAGAGAGATTTTCATCGCTGGGGAAATATATTTAATTACAGTATTATATCTAAGACTATAGTTAGTAAAGTAAGCACTCACAATTGTAGTGTTTTCTGGTTTTCTTTAAGTATTTTTCCTGTGACTTACGCTGTCATTATAAATCTGTACCTGGTGAGAAAAAATCAACAGGACAGCCCTTTATTGTAAATGAAAAACATTGTGTCATGTGCCAGTAGGAAAGCACAGGTGTCAATAATCAAATTAATGGCTGAATTCCATTTATTTGCTTTAGCTTCAGGGTCCTGGTATAGTGCATGCTGGCTCAGGATCACAATGGCTTACTGGAACCTTGAACATAACAGAGCAAGTGTTATTAATGTTATTAATAATGTTATTAATAGCACAGATGTTCCTGTTATGACATATAAAGAGGCCTTTCAGTGAATATCACTGAATCTAATTTTGGTCTCTTCAAATGCTTTAGCTGCAAGTCAAATGAACACAGGAACAGAGTTATCCATCTGCTTTCAGAATCTGACATCTTCATGTGGCCTTGAAGCCTATTAATGTTGTGCTTAATGTCTCAGGTTTTACAGCAGGAGAAGCATGTTCTTCAGAGGAAGCTGGAGATGAGTGAACTAGCATCTGGGCAAAAAGAGGCAGAGCTGACAGCTGATGTAGCTGCCTTGAAGGCTGAGCTGGAGCGATATCACAGCCAGGGGCAAAGCCGACGAAGAGATGAGAGTGAGCAGTTGACTCAGTTAAACAATCATAACCAACGATTGGTGGAGCAGCTAGCAGAGGTTAGTTTATACTACCAATGATCAGGCTGCCTCAACCCTGTCATTAGTGACAGTCCCACCAAGAAAACATCATAGTTATGCTGTTAGAATGAACAAAATCCAGGTGTATGTGTGTGTGTCTGTGCATGTGGGTTTTTGTGATGTCAAGTCATAGTCACGTAGGCAGGAATAATGCAGACAAGCAGGTTTAGGGAGTTCTGTCTTTGTCTTTCATTGAACAAAAGACTTTCTCGGTATATCTGTCTCCCACCCAACTAGGCTGTAACACTGGAACACGCCTTGAGGACTGAGCTTCGTTCCCTCAAAGAAGACATGGAAGAATCATCTTTTAGCCGAACTATCAGCTTCACGCAATTACAGAATGTACAAGCAGAGGTACACTTAACCATTCAGAAATCACTGGCACAGGCTGAGTGTGACAGTCATGAACATATTATGCTATATCAAATGCTTCAAGATAGGTCATACACAAGAACACTGCAATACTATGAAACTACCATGAAATTATAATACAACATGAAAGTAAGGAGCAGTTAGTAAACCTTGTGAGGCAAGTCCAAATCAAGTCACCCCTAAGGAGCAAATTCAAAGCCAGTTGCAAGTCTTTTACTGCAGGTCCTTTTATGCTGGCCTTTAAATAACATGGCTTTTGAACATTTTAATTCCAACATTGTGTTAACCTTGGTCCTATACTAATGAAACAAAGTCCTATCAAAGCATTATTCCTAATTATTTGGGGATTTTACCAAGTCAGTAGACTGAGATTTAAAGGTTTTTGTTTAAAGTTTCAAGTTAGGTCAAGTCCGTTGTGAGTAAAGTCTGACATAAGTCAGTTTGAATCAAATTTAAAGTCCTTATTTTGTTAAGTTTACAGCTGTGCTGCAAGATGGAATTATTAGCAGAATAGTAAGTAAACTCACCAAGATTTAACAGGCTCAGGGGCGTACAGTAAATATCCATATTTCAAAGCATCAAAAACAAGTTTATTGGACTAAATTAAATGAATGAAATATATTTAAATGTTCACCATATATAAAAGAGGCTTAGTCCAGCAGCTAGAGTGTTCATTTTTTTAATGTAAACATGGCAATAATTTCAGTAAACACTTTATTTCACCTCTTTTATTGCACGATTTATATATATTTTGTGTTTTTTTCATCTGTCCCTCCTTCTCCAATAGAACAGAGTCTTGTTAGAGCGGCTGTCACACATAGAGGAGCAACTAAAAGCTTCACAGGAGGACAGTGACAGACTTCGCGTTGAGAGAGAGGGACTACGAGAGAGACTGACGGAACTCCAGGTCAAACTAAAAGAGAAGGAAGCAGAGGTGAGCATCAATGACTGGCTGGTATTTAAGAAGGACTGTGGCATTGAAAGATGAAGTTTAGTGGAACAGGAAGAGAATCGTGACTGCAGCATGAGACATTAGCGATCACTAACAGAAGTCAGAAACAAAAGTTTGAAGCTTTTGATCTGTTTGTGTGTGTGCGTGTGTGTGTGTGTACTTGTGCCTGCCTCACTCTCTGTGTGTTTGTATGCATATATAGCTAGAGCAGGAGCAGGGAGTGGTGTTTGAGTTGCGTACCTTGAATCGCTCTCTGCAGCAAAGGGTTCTGAACCTGGGAGAAGAAAGCATCCTGGATAGTACTCTCACACAACCTTTGTCTCTACTTAGCGAAATTCAGCAATCACAGGTACACACAGAGACAACACACTAACTGGTGCACAATAACTAACCTTTGCTAGTGTTTAGTCATTTTGACCCTATACTGGCATCCTTCTTTTGATAGTGTGAGACTGATACTAAACACTAACACCTAGTAATAAGTGTTTTGACCTGAATGACCCCTGTGTCCGTTGTCTTGTCGTGTATCTCTTCTGCTAACTAGGCTAAGGAGGCTCTTCTAGCTCACTCCACAGTCCTGCAAGCAAAAGATGATGAGATAGAAACACTGAAAGAGGAGGTATGTTGAACTGTTTACAAGTACATGCAGTTCTCAAATACACAGCGACTTCTAAAACAAAAACATGGTGTTTGACTTGAGCAGAGAGGGTTAAAATAACCTGAAGCGGGTGGAAATTCTTGCTACTATGTGTATGAACAAATATAGCTGTATATGCTCTTTACTCTAGCATATAAAAGCAAAAGAGCAACAGTTTAAGACATAGGACCCACCCACTGAGGCAAATCATGCCAAGTAGCCTAGTTCACAAGCAACACAATGGGAAAAATGAATGCAGATATCATGCTGCATACATGATATAATATCAAATTTATTTGACGGATAGCAGTTATAAAGCACCATAAAACTGTTAGCTGTATTAAAGGCACCGATTTATCATTCTCCTTTATTTTTCATTCATTAATACTGACACGCATCACATTTTGACTCTGGCAGGGGTGACACCAGTAGCCATATTTAAATATTCTTGATATTTTAATGAAGAACAAGACTTTTAAACTAGTTTACTGTTTTTTTTTTCTTGTTGTAAAAGTATATCCGATAGAAATTATTATTAAAAGCAGACATTTTTTAAATGGTCATGTATGCCTTTGAATTGCACACAGCTGCGGTCTCAACGAGAAGAGCTGGTGTCTTTAAGGGAGGAAATCGCACCATTTAGAAGCAATCCTGGAAATCCAAGTTACAAGTAATGCTGCACAACAACACATTTGTTGAATTCATTCAATTTAGTTGAACCTACAGGATTATATGGTATGCTTTGGTAATTTGAATACAAATGTAAAGTTCCCTAGAGAGACAACTGGCCATGGTGCAACAGGAGAAAGAATCATTAACTCAGCAGCTTCTCAACACCATCCAACAAAAGGTGACGCTGTCTCAAGAGCTGGATGCCTGGCAGGTGAATAAGTGTCCAGGGATATAAAATTCAAAATAATATCTTTTTGTAACACATTTTCATTTTGTTGCAGGAGGACATGCGATTGGTGATCAATCAACAGGTGCAGCAAAAGCAGGAGGAGACACAGGAGGATGAACAGAAAGAAAGCACAGGACTCCAAAGAAGCAAGTCTTTGAAAATGAAGGGCGAAGTAGGGAAAAGATTCTTCTCTTTTTTCAAGGACAAATGACAGAGAGAAGAAGCAGCAGTTTAAGGGGAAGTATCACTCTTTATCCTTGCCACTGTGAGCTTATGCTGCCAGATAATGAACACGGCAATGTGTTATCAGCATCAACATGTGAAATGTTTACAGACCTCATATCTGAATTTGAATGTATTTGAATATATTTATATACATTGATGTACAGTAACAAGTGTATCAGTAATTTCAGTTTCTAAGACTTTATATTAAAATGTTAAAGCCAGTCTGTAATGGATGTTTTACAATTTCTGGGTTGTTTTTTTTTTAACCATAGAATCTTAAAGCTACACTATTTAAATGTTTTTGGTCAGGCTGTGTGTTCCTACAGAGAGCTAAAAGAGTATTATTAGTGCAACTGCATACAAAGTTAATGGAAAGATGCAAATTTACAAGAATAGAGTGAGTTGATGGAATCTGAGAACGTTTCAATACTGGGTTTCTGGGCCTCGATTGTGTCCAGAGAGGACAAAGGCGAGAGACTAGACATAGATAATAGAAAGAATCGCCGTTTCTGATGAGTTCTGAGTTAAGTCAGAGGCTTAGCCAAACACAAGCACAGTATCCTAACACACTCCCAAAGGCATGGTTGGTGCATCCAGGTAATATCTGTACAATATATCAGGTTTTTGCAGCATGAAAACACAGTCGAGAGCATAGTTTTCCTCAATTACAACACTTTGAAGCACAAAAAGAGGAACTTAATACAAACCTCTGACATATTTTGACCTAATAACGTTGTAATGGTGAACAATAGCAGACATGGGGCAACATGAAACCTTTAGTGTTTTTGTAGCTCTCTAGCCATGTGTTAAATGTCCTATATTCTCATTTATGCTTTGTTTAGGTCTTTTTAAAAACTCCTGGGAAACAAACAATATTTGACTCGGTAACACTTTATTTTACAGGTCTGTAAATTCCAGTTGATTTCCAAATAATATCCAAAAAATCAAGTCCTGGAAAGAACCATATAATTTGGTACAAATTATAGATAAAATAGATCCGCTGGTATACTTCGAAATGTTAAATAACCTGAGGCTTTTATTCAGAAAACAGAAGGTGAAATTTGTCTACAAACAACAATGCAGTTCAGTATAAATGAAGCAAATATTAAGTGAAGTTTAAACTGAGTAATTTCATTCATGAAAATTCACCTGTAAGCAAAAAGTAAATTTAACACAACTCAGTGGACTAACTACAAAAACAGTCTCAGAACTTTGTCTTTATTTACCTGTAATTAGCACCAAATCGCATGGTTCTTTACAGAAAACTTTCATGAAACTACGTGGAACTAGCGTACCTGTAAAACAAAGTGTTAACCACTGATTCTTTAGCTTGCTAGAAGCACAATTATGTTTAAACAACCAAAACAATGACTTAAAGGTGGCTCATAAGAACCATGGCGCTAAGGGTTAGGCGCTAATTTTGTTTTTCACTACAAGTGAACCATTTTATATAACATGCAGTAATTTGATCTGTTGTTAACACTATAAAAATATTAATCATGAAGAAAAAAAAGAACAATGACAGAAATAACATCTTTAATAAATTAAGTCCAAAAAGACAGTCAACCCTTTCTACTTCTCTCCATACTTATATTACATAATGTATAAATAAAAGATGTGCAACATTTCATATGTTAAATGGGACTGGAAACGTCCAGAAGCAGCGTGAGCGGTGTAGGTTGCATACAGGTCAGTGTTACCCCATGTCTTCATCTATATACTGTACATACATTATAGTCCTAGCCCCATGGACTCAGTGCACAGCCACTGACATCCCTCAGCTGGAGGAGGGTTTATATGGCACAGCACCATTTCTCTTAGAGTCAACGGGCTACATGTTCATGTGTGGAAGTCTCACATACTGGAAAAAAAAAGATGTTCAAACAATAACTTACTCATATACAGCTTTAGAGATCATACTGATTTCCCTAATTTACTAAAACACAGAGAGCTGAGATTTCTGTTGACCACTTTGTTTTTAGATTGACCCTCTAAGCAGCGGTTGGTGGAAGCCAGCTCTCAGGAATGGCTTGGGAAAATCAGTGCACATTTACTCAGCTTTATTTTTTCTCTGTTAGTGTTATGCTGAGGGCAGCAACTCTTTCGGAAGCGCCAATATTCACAATTTAGAAGACAGATGCCAAAGAAAACAATTTTCAAATAATACTGACACAAATGTAGCCAGGAAGATGGGAAAATGCATAAATCAGTTTTATAAACAACAATGTCCTTCAGAAAATGGTCAGCAGAAAGGTCAGGCACACTGTACATAAACATACTAGTTGATGGGTTAAGACATGTAAAACACTGTCTTTAAATACAACCTATATACATCTAGCTCCTTTATGAATACCTACAGTATAAAATGTATTTGTCTTCAGTTAACAGTACATTAGGCCTCTTCTCCTTTTTGTGTACACTGTCCAGAAGGTGATGCGCAGTCTGCTTTCTCAGAGACAGTAACTCATCAATCACATATGGTGAGCCCCTCAAAATGTTAATCCAGTCTTCCTACTGTCAGCCCATCACAAAACATCATCTCCATTTTGAGAGGTAGGTTGCAGGATGAGATGCATGGATTTAAGAAGACATTTGGGTTTCATCACCCAAACAATCCACGCTACTCGAGTGGTTCCAAATGCTTTACAGAGGCGGATAAACCTCAGAAGATCAAATCATGAAATCAGTTTGAAACCGGTCTGAAACTGGTTTCTGGCTGGTTGTCCTGTCAGTGAGTTGTAATGCCACCAGGGCTTAGTGGAGGATTATCCCACGTTGACACCTAGCCCCACTTGCAGCTTGTCACCTCTGTGATTTACAAAGGCACCCATAATCAGGGTGGCAGGGAGTGGGGTAAGACGCTTCTCCAGCACACCTCCTATTATGCACCGACTGTTTATCATACCTGGATACAAACCCAGAAAAAGGTCTCATATACTGTATGGTTTCTTAATGGTTTTCATTAAGCATGACATGTTACTCATAAAGAAACATACCTCGAAATACCATGTTGGCCTCTGGCAGTTCCATCTGATACCCAAAAGAGGTTGTGGTCTCCTGTGTCCTGGTGCTGGCCTCAAACTCTACTCCAACTTGGATCTGGTGAACACACACACACGTGCATTTTTGCAGTATGCACATAAAATAAATGTTGTGTCTATACAGTATGGTGGTATTGGCTGTACCTGTTTGTTGGCTCTGTGATAATAGCTAGCATGGGCACCTCCTTTCCCAGCATTCAGCGTCGCCACCCAATTTGGTCCTGCACGAAGAGCCCGAAAAATATGAGATGCTGGTGGTAAATCAACCAAAACATATCAGAAAATATGGCAGCTAAATTCAATCACATGTTTATAGTAGACTCATAAATCAAAAGAAAATCTCACTTGAGTATTGTCCTGCCAAAGTAAGAATTCCTCCTTCCTCTGCTCTTCCCCGATGGTAGACCAGCTCCCCTCCTAACACCAGTCCAGCAGACACACTCTGCAGGAAGTGTGCCACAAGGATAACTATCCAAGAGAAAAATACACAGAAGAATCACAGATAGGATCACAAAATACACAATAAGAAATCTGGCAAAAATTAACACAAAGCAGTTATTGTTTATGCTGGACAAAGATAAGTGAGTCAACACAGCATTTTGATGCAGATACTACTGATGACTGTAAAACTGGGTGATGCTCAGGTGAGGCTCTTATTATTCCACTGCTCACCTGACTCTCTGAGGATGTCTGGGTTGGCTACTGTCACAGCAGCAGTGAAGTCGTTCCCTCTGTACTCAGTCTCAAACTGCCACGTTACAAAGTGGGACTGTTGGGTCTAAAACAATCAAAAGTTCAGGAGGTGAGGTGTAACTGATGTTTACAGAAACAATGACTGAACATGGGATGGAACAGATTACGTTACGGAAAGAGAAAGACATCAGGACCTCACCTGGAACACTGTTCTGGCTCGTACACGTTCTGTGAGATGCAGCAGAGCATGAGCGTTCAGACTTCCCGAAGAGTCCATCTCACCAATCAGTGCTGGGGCATCCTAAAATGTGAGGAAGAAGAAGAAGATGCAATCTTTCAACTAAAAAAGGCAGCAGCTTTATCTGTTTTCAAATGTTCTATACAGCTAAGCACATTAAAGATAAAGCAGTGTTAACATATTTATTATCTGATGACTTGTGCTTGACCTTGTCCTTGCTGTAATCATCACACTGCAGATGCTCCACGTGGAATCGATAGTATGACGGACTGACAGCGCTGAGGTGGAGAGTATGACTGGCCTGGAAGCAAACATATGCATCATGATCAGAATTATAACATTTTAAAATATAAACGTTTGACACCCTTATTGTACACACCAGTTAACATGGGCGGAAGAGTTACCTTGAAGAAGCTGCTCAGAGTTTTATTGACGATCATCTTAACTCCCTCAATCTGTTGAGGAAAAACATCTGGGGAGAAAAACAGAGCAAAAACATTAACAACACATTTAATATGTCTATATGCTCCGCAACTGTGTTATTGTTCACCACTACAAACTGACTTCAGAAATGCCCAAGTCAACACGGTTCCATTTTTAGATAAACAGATTAAGTCTAAGTCAGTTCACACAGCTTGATTTGTGCTTGAGAATACTGATATTGGGTCAAGAAAAACTGACAATGGGGGGCAACAATGGTGCGGTGGGTAGAGCAGTCTTCTCCCAACCGGAAGGTTGAAGGTTTGAATCTCGGTGCCTGCAGTCCACATGTTGAAGTGTCCTAGGGCAAGACAATGAACCCCCCAAGTTGCCCGTGATGGCAGCGCACAGGTGGCAGCCCAGGGCCCTCGGCTCCAAACAAAATTTCGTTGTATGTGTCACAATGACAAAAAAAAAAATAAAGCTTTTTCTTAAAATAATTAAAACTTTTACATGGGTACCATACCAAAGAAAAACTTTACAAATTATTTTGAGAGTGCAAACTGCATGTAATTTTTGGTGTGGATATAAACATACTGTTTCACTAAGACAATACTGGCAGTGTTTCTGTCACCACTGGCAGCCAATGTACATTCAAGAAAACCGTTGTGGCCTTAAAACAAGAAGACACAAGACATGGGAAAAATATTTGGACCTTTAACCTAACATTTTGTAGCACACCCTTTTGAGGCAATTTAAATATGCTCAATGACTCATTACAAAATTGAAGATACCAGAACAGCTTGCTTGAAATATCAATATCTTTGTAGAACAAACAAATTCATCTACAGTATTTTTACAGTGTCTGTGTTTTATTCTATGCCACAACAAAGGCATGCAGATACAGTATGTATGACAAAAAATCTTTTCATTTCAACACATTTTAAAGAGGAATGGAGCATTGTTTTAATAAAGTGTAAGGGTACCAACATGTTTGTCCACATCTATACAAAGTGCTTGTTGCAATGAGCATGCAATTTGCATGATTCTTTTGTATTGCCTAGTGTGTATGTATGTCACAGTTCTTGCTTTCTAGCCAGATACACCTTTGCAGTTCCTGTGGAGAGAGTGAAAGCTGCCTGGGTTGGGTAGGCGACCATCTCTCCTCTCCCAGGATGGTGGACTGTCCCAGTGAGCAGGATGTGCATCCCAGCGAGAAGGAGGGGGGTCCGTGGAGAAAGGCCAGTTGTGATGGCCTGGACCAGAAGACAAAGCCAGAACGCTGCCCATGTGGGCACAACACTTCCTATATAACAAAAGGAGACAAAGGAGGGATTTAAGATGATGCCTTCACCAATTAAATTATATAATTTGCAGCAGTACATGCACTTTTTAAACCCAGATTTTGTCCTATATGAAGAGAGCAGAGACTAGTGTAATGCATGCCCTGTAATATGATACAGGTTGTCAGTTGAGCCTGATGACATTTACATGGAGTATAGACAATGTTCTGACCCTGGATAACACAGGAAATTTAAAGGTTTGTTATTGCACCTACACCCACAGAGGTATCCCAGAGGTATCCACAAGTTAATGACATCAAAGATGAGAGCAAAATGGAGAATAAAAGCTTATGCTTTTTATTTATTTTGGTAGGTCTTTAAATTGGTTTTATATCGGATTGCAGGGGTGCCTATGGCTATGTGCATCATGTAAAGCTGTCTGTTGTGCAGGTGCGGCAATTCCGCTAGCTAGCATGACCTAAGCATCAGCAAACACCCTAGTTGTTTTACTACCTACTTCCAACGTTATCAAGAGATCTTAAAATCCCAATATGAACTGAGAGATGCACATCCGAAAAACTGTCAAGTCGTTTAATAAACGAAAAAATGAGAAACTAACTGATGCTAGGATCAACTGATGCTGCAAACACCCCCACTCCTCCAGATGTGATGCGCCACCCTGCAAATATGCCCGTCTGAAAACACGAGTTGAATTATGTGGACTTAAAAATGTAAACTTTTATAATTACATGTATTAAACCGGCAATTTAGTTGCAATATTATTAAAATAACAACTATACATTTTCTCTTAGATAACTTTAAATTAAAATGCATTTGTTTTTTAGCTTTGAGAACGCCGGTAAAGAGGGTTCGGGCAGTAGGAGAAGTTCAGTCATTGTATTCTACATTAGCGTTAATATAGTTTGTGTCATTTAACTTTGCCGGGTCTTAACTACCAGATATGGACCTTGCTTACTAAAATATGCAGTCACTCTCCTCATATATTAGACCGTGAAGCGGACAGGGTGGTCATTGTCGCTCCTACGCGCAACTCTTCCTTTCGCAATCAGAGCTGTAAAAGGTGGAGATAGATTTTTTTGGCCAGGCTTTCGGGGAATTTTAGTTTCTACATTTCTAGCTGGACTGAATATGTCTCCTTCGCGGTCAATATTATTGGTGGGAGAAGGGAACTTCTCGTTTTCTGCCGCTGTGAGCCAGTTACACGCTGAACAAGAGACCAGCATAACGGCCACTTGTCTGCAGCAACAGGATGAGGCACTGCGGCATGAAGGTGCAGCCATTAACATTCAGATCATCAAGGACTCGGGTACGTGTTTGTGGGTGCTTTCATAACTGAGCTGCATTTTACAGGGCCACACTTAGAGACACTTTTTGTATTTGTTATTCAGGTGGGACTGTGCTTTTCGACGTGGACTGCACAAAACTGAAGGAATGTGCATCTCTGCAGGGCCGTGTGTTTGACCGTGTGGTGTTCAACTTTCCCCACTGCGGGAGAAAGAGTGGGGTTAAAAAGAACAGAGAACTTCTCAAAAACTTCTTCCTCAGGTAGAACTACACCCGTGGGATTCAATTTCACGTGAATTCTTCAGCATTACTGTGGTATATACGTAATGTCAGCCAGTGAAAACAGTTCAGTTCACTGCATCGAGACTGAAATTTGGCCTCTTCCTTTAAGTGCTTTTTTAAGAAAAAGCATATTTAAATTTCTCAAAAAATGTATTGTTAAAAAGATTAGGATTATTATTAGTGTCAATTTATCCCAAGTTGTCTACAATCTTTATGAAAATGTCCTGAATACTTGTGTTTCCTTTTCTGTGCTTCCAGTTGCATTCCTTTGTTGGCTGAAGATGGGGAGGTTCATGTTTCCTTGTGCAATGGTCAAGGCGGGACACCAGTAGACCAGCCGAAGCGAGAGTGGCACAACAGCTGGCAGGTGGTTGCCATGGCAGCAGAAGCACACCTAATCCTTAGTGACATCCAGCCTTTTGAAAGTGAGAGATACCAGAGCTACAAGTGCACTGGATACAGGTAAGGAGTAAAGGTGAGTGTACAAATAGAAACAGAAGTGTGTGTGTGTGTTTTCCATGTGTGCTTGCATAGTGAAATTGTCTGATTATATTGTTGATGTTGCACAGGAGCCAGGATAAGGGCTTTCATGTGGAGAAAGCTTTGCTCCATGTGTTCACTCGCAGCCTCCCCTACACCTCTGCTCAGATGCTTAAGGTGGAGGAGGTTATTGAAGGAGGGAAGGTCCAGTACACCATACCAGCTGAACTCAGTGATTTCATATTCAGGTACAGAAACACCAAGACTCATGCTATTTGTGTAATAAGACACAGATGCAAAGAAACCCCTTTCTTATTGTCTTTTATTTTTCACCAGGGGATTTCTCTGCTCAGGTTCTGTTCACCCTGTCAGACTGGTACAAGATTTTCTTCTTGAGGGGCTGACGGAGAAGTGGTCTGTCTCCATGACAACAGAGACCCTTCCTTTCCTCCTCCCGGCCAAACAGCTGCAGAAGTGTTGCCGTATTGTAGACAGTACACATCGCAATTGGGTCCACCTGTTTGAGAAAGACCTCAACTCTGACACTCATACCTCTGTAGACAAACAAAAATATCAGTTGATGTTCTTGGACAGTGAGGGGGACACAGATACACAAGATACTCTGGTAGCCTCATGTGTTGCCTCTGAAAAAGTGGACAGGGCGAGGAACAAAGGATCTGAAAGTCTAAGGCCTGCATGTGCTCTCGAAGTTGATCCTGAAGGGGAAAGTGCTCTTTATATTCTGCGTCCATCACTGCTCCCTCAGATGGAAGAGCTTCTAGCTAAAAAAGGACATTTTATTAATAATGCAGGGAGTATTGGGGAGAATGATGAAGATAACAGAAGTGTTACAATTGAAGGAAATAAGAAGGATGGAGCCTGTGGAAGCTGTAATGGTGTTACCAGCTTGTTATTTGGCATCAGTGGCCTTGTGTTCAGGAACATACCTGTCAACCTCTGGGCTCTGCCTGCCTTTCATGAGCTTCTCCTCAGAGGTGTGTTCCCTTCAGAATGTGAGCCAATCAAATTGCTTGGACAGAGGCTGGAAACGCTGCTCACTCCCTATGGGGTCTGTCTGGTTACAGAACAGGGAGGTCTGCGTCTAATGGCACAGCCAATGGGTTTGGTTGGTAAGGTGTTCGCAAGCAATGCAGGCGAACACATTAGCCATGTCAGTATCACCGTGTCCTTAAATCTGGACCTTCTTGCTGTGCTCCTGTTCTCACTCCCTGACTGGAGGCTGCTGTGGTCACATGACCAACGCTTCTTAAAGCAGTTTGCACTGTGCCCATCACCAGGGACTCCTTTTCAGCCATTTTCCTTGTTCCCCGAGCACTTCAGCTTCGACATCAGCTTCTGGACAGGACCGACGTGGGAGGAGAAGAAGTTCCACGCCGTGGTCCGAGAGGCCAGCCTTGAGACTGTGGAGCAAGTTAAACTCATTGATACATTCTCACATCCTGACCTGAGCCAGACAAGTTACTGCTACAGACTCATCTACCGTTCACACACGCATGCTCTGTCACACACACAAGCCCTCCAGTTTCACAAACACCTGGAGTCTTTACTTTCCTCTCGGTTGAAAGTCACCATCAGATAGCTACATTTTAACCTCTCAGAGGAACAGGGATTTGACATCAGACATTATAATTACAGGTCTGTTTGTGACTACTAAGCTAACTAGAAGCATAGAATATGCAAAACTGTAGATGAACAGTGTTTTACAGTATGGAAGCATTGTTTGTTAAGAGTATGCCTTGAAATGAGAAACAAAGAATTATGTGTATCTATGTGTATTTTATTATACAACAAACCTGTTATTTAAGATAAATGTGTGGGCTGTTGATAATATAAAATAGTAAAGGTCATGTAGTATTTAATGTGACAAGCATAAAGGCAAGTGCTTTGTGATAAAATTGTTGTGAAATCATTAATCTTTGTTGTAATAGCATCTGTAACCAGCAAATGCAGTTTATTCCACTAAGGTTATATGTTTGAGACATTTGGGTAAATACAAATAATATCTTTCTAATATGTTCCTGGAAAGAACTATGTATGCTTGCCTGTAGACAAATGGCACCTTTTGTATGTTCAGTAGATCTGTAATGAACATGACTCATGGGAATGGACTAATTGGAAATGTATCGACTGAGCACTATGTCCACTTTAGGGTCTTCCAAAAAATTCTAACAGCCCCTTGTTTGTAGGAACAACTTGACTGTTTCTTGTTTATCAAACAAAGTATTTTAATTAATTCAATTTGGTCATGTGCTGTGTAACATACTTTGTCAGGGTTATACGCCGCTATTCTCATGACATGATTTAAAAAAAAAAAAAGATATATAGCAAAATAGCTTCTCCATTAATATTGTGTATGTGTTCAGCCTGTCTGATAAATATATGAACAATAAGTGAAAACAGTGTATAATATTGCAGAGAGCATTTGACAGAGAGGTTTCACCCTGAGTCCGCTTTTTGTTCAGGAGTATGCAGATGTATTGTGTATTAAAGTGAAGTAAATACAATCCCTGCAGGAAACATTCAAAATGAAAGGTTAACGCACGGTAACAGTTTATTTCATTAACTTCAAAAAACAAGAACAAAATGCAATAGGTAATTGTATTATGTGCAGAGTTTGGACACCCTACTAAATCAGTACATAAAAACATAGGGTCAGTAAAGAAAGTCCAGCTGAGAAGTGCTTGATCCAAAGCGTTGCTCCAGGTCCATCGTGAACTATTTCAAGAGGCGAAAGCTGAAGCCTTTGGAGAGTTTGTTGTGATGTGTACCACAAAGGACTTTGTAGTTACTGACCTAGGGCACTTAAATACTGCTTTGTTTTTTTATGTTCATGAAATAGAACAGTAACAGTCCAGGGGTTGTATTTACTTATGTCCAGTTTTGCATAATTTTTTTTATGACTCGGACTCAGTCACATAAGATACGAACTGTCAATAACCGGACATCGCCGAAAATGAACGAAGTCCGACTTCGGGAGCAGCGTCGGTAAACATGGCGGCCAAGGCGCTCCGGCAGCGAACCAGGAGAGGCAGCAGACAAGATGCAAACAACGTGAACGTCTCCGCCGAAACTCGGCCACCGAAAGAGGAGAAAGTCAGTGATGACAGCAAAACAACCGACCCTCGGCAAGAGTGAGTATGAACCGTAAGGAGAGGCGTTGCACGCTCCATCGCCGGACTGACTGACAACCTGAGCAGGGGAAGCTAGCTAGGTAGCTAGCTAGCAACTTTGCTATGTTAAACAAGTTATCATCATAACAACATGGTAACAACTGTTGACAACGTCCACCTCACAATCCACGGGACTATGTGCTTACAGTAATTTGAACTAGAATGTTAAGTAATGTTCCTGCTCCATTAATAACTAGCTTAATGGTTTATGTTTTGAGTAACGTAACGTAACTTAGTTGAATGACCTGTCCAGCTTCATTCATTCTCTCCATCCACTGCCAGATTCATGGTTAACGTTGGCAGGCTACTATTGCCATCACTAGTGGGTTCACTCATACTCAGCATGGACATAATCGATAATTTAAAATCATTGGCTACTATTGTTGACATTTTGTTGAAGTCCTTTGAAAGGCAGTTTGGCAGTTTGTGAGGTGACGTGTCATAATAGTATAACGTGAGGATCAGTGCTGAGCTGCAGCCCAGCCGACTAATGTAACTAATCTGATGGACGTGAACAAGAGGAAACTAACAGACACAGACAGCAGTGTAGGCTAACACTGCTACTGTAAAGACCACTGAAATGGTACTAAAATACTGTCATCACTAATGATCTGGACAAGCACACAGCTGTCCACATCTGGGAGGTCATTGTAATGAACATAGGTAAATAACAGAAGTAAATTACTATTGTTCCACTGATAATGTAGTGTCAGACAGTTTTTAAAAATATGTCTTTTGCAATCTGCTCAATGAAAACACTACTAGAAACTACAAACTCCATAGTTACGGATTCAAGGATTCACATTTCATGTGTCACAAGAAACATAAACACTATGTGTAGTAAAATACAGTGTGATATGTTCTTATGAATCGATGGTACTAAAGGAAGTGGTGATGGTGGAGAATGACATAGACCTGCTCAAAAATGGGCCAGACATTGGTCGCTCAATTTAAGCACATGTAGACAGTATTCTAGCATGGTCTGTATAATTAACTGATTAATTGGTTGATTAGTCATTTGACAGAAATCCCCAACTATTTTGATCTTCAATTAGTATGTCAGTCATTTATAAGCAAAAATACTAAAACAATGGCAAATATTTTCTGATCTCAGCCTCTCACAGAAGATTTCCTGCTTTTCTTTGTCATATTCATTTTGCCCTGGTCAAACATAACATTTGAAGACATCACATTCATTTGGGATTGCAATGTTTAAATGATTCTACTTTTACTACTACTAATAATATTAGTAACAGTGATTGTTGCACTAATTCTAATCGTGTTATTCGTGTGTAGCAATACTGATTAAGAAGTAGGATAACTGCTTAAGACAAATAAATTTAAATAACATTTGTATAAACCATTTTTTGGTTTAACTTAAAAGAAAGCAGGGCAGAGGTGTGAGCTTGAAACAGACAACAAACAGGCAAGTAATTGCGAAATCTGGAACCATATGAGTAGTGGAAGACCACTGTGCATCAAGTCAAGACAGATTTTATTTATATAAACCAAAACACCCCCCCAAAACCCTTTAAAGGGAATAAATAATAGGTCTATTGGCACAGTAAGTGGTACGTGGACATAGTTTAGTATAGGTTTCTCTGTGTAATTAGGCCTTGTCTGTTTTCTATTATGAGCTGACATTTATTTTTTTGTTCTACCAAACATGTAATCTTTGTAATTAGGGGCATAATAATTGGCATGCTCTGAAATGATTACCATAATTGTGGCCTTAATTAGTGTTTTATTAAAAGCAGGTGCCTTAGAAACACCAACCAGTACATGTTTAAATACCAATACACAGGTTCATTAGGGCCAAGTAGACTATTTAAAATCAAAGCAATTTTCTATCAATTATACACAAATACATTATTGAATACACTGAGGATGATGTAAGAACTAAACATTTTAATGTTATTTAATACCTTTTGATTCTGAAATTAATCATGTGAATGTTGTATGAGAATTTAGCATTTGTGCATCTGTGTGATTAATTCTTTTCCCCCTATTTTAATAAATAGGCCAGTAAGTCGTGGAGGGCAGGTATGGGCTCCAGAAGGGTCAACTGCATTTAAATGTCTGCTCTCCGCACGTTTCTGTGCAGCTTTGCTCAGCAACATCTCAGACTGCGATGAGACCTTCAACTACTGGGAGCCTGTGCGTACCGCTCACTAATATCAGTAAATCAAGGGTAAACCTGAATTCCCATAAGTACATTCACTTTTCTCCTCACTTGTGTCATTTTCTTGCATCTTAGTCCCACATATAATGTGGGGGAAAAATGTGAGGAGAAAGGAATTTGAAGAAACAGCTTTTAAAGACATGCAACTGATTTCCAGTAAAGGGGCATGTCAGTTAGAGATCCTATCTGCTTGTTAAGTGTGACGTAACATTCCACTTTTGGGTCCAGACTCCTTCAGACCGAAGTGGCGGAGCCTGTCACCCAGTAGACGAAAACATCTTTTTTTGCGAGGCATCACTGAGAGTCAATAAAAATGACTACATTCTTAAGATTCGAATAGAGTAGTCAGTATTGTCGTTCTGCCTGGTGGCATAATAACCAAACATTATTAGGCTATACATGGTTGTAAATGTATTCCATTATATATATATAATGAGTTATATATCTAACTTGTTTTTAATAGTTCCCAGCTTTTACTGTTACTTTAATGCGTAAAATGTGTCAGTGTATAGTCTTTACATTAACTTCGTGTTTACTAGCCAGCTACAATACAAAGGCAGCAAAACAGTGCACCTTTTATAGGCTTTATTTTTTATTAATTTAAGAATACTGAAATATCTAATCAACTGTAGCCATTTCTTGACAGCTGACCCATGATTTTTGATTCCGATCTACTGAAACAAAGGGGAAAACAACACTGTTGGTATATGGAGAGGAGGAGAACGAACCAAATGTTATGTCAGAATAGAATGTTACGTCACCATTTAACAAACGGATACTGGTATTGGGTCCGATATCGGACAGACAAGGCAGACCCACTTGCTGATCCATCATCCAGTTGGCAGCTTGCGCTGGACCATGAACTCACCGTAACCTGATATAACACCATATGAGGCATGACATCCATCTGGAACTTAAAAAATGTGGATTGGCCCATCACTGGTGTCAGTGCACAAAAGACTTCCACAAAAGCTGTTGTCTTGTATCCTTGCTCATGGCTCCTCCTGGCAGCCTACTCTATTCTCAGAGCAGCTGTAAGAACTTTGGGATAGCTTTAAAGATGGTGGACTGAACCCCTTCTAGGTTGAGCAAGGAATGATGAGTTAAGGAAACTGGGATTTACCCCTAAAATGTGATATGCTGTTGTATATTTGTAACCCTCCCAGGGATTTTCTATCTGTGTCATAATAATTTTGCAGCATCTTTACTTTTTGAGGAAATTACTTCTTTTCTTTCTTTAAATATTCATGTCTGTAATTGTGATGACTGGTTTGACAGATGCACTACCTGCTGTACGGCACAGGAATGCAGACATGGGAGTATTCTCCGCTGTACGCCATCAGGTCGTACGCTTACTTATGGCTACATGCTCTTCCTGCTTGTTTGCATGCCCATGTTCTACAGACAAACAAGGTAATTCTTCCAAACCTGCTGTCATGTCATTGCTTACTGTTGGAATTTTAAATGTCTTGTGCTGAAATACAGTGTAATCAGCTCTTTTGTGCTTTCCATTTTTTCTTTACTGTAGGTCAACAGTGTTGTCATAATAGGAAATAATTTTTGTGTTGCAACCTAAAAACCAGTGGTAAATCATCTTAAACAGGCTCACTTCTTTTCAGAAAAAGAATGTTGCCATGTATGATTTCATACACTAACACATAGAGGTATGTATAATGTATTATCATAGTGGAGTGTTATGCAGCAGTTTCAGGCCTCTATTATGATTGTGTTGCAGGTCTTGGTGTTCTACTTTGTACGATGTGTCTTAGCATTCTCCTGCTGTGTCTGTGAGCTCTATTTCTACAAGTGAGTTTACCCTCCTCTTAAATGTAAACAGCCATCCCAAGCACTTGTGTTTACACATCTGGGGCTGATTTATATAGCTACTTATGGATTTATGAATAGAAGTTAAACATTTGGCTTGTTTGTTTGTGTGTGCCACAGGGCAGTGTGTAAGAAGTTTGGGTTGCATGTTGGCCGCCTGATGCTTGCATTTCTTATCCTCAGCACAGGAATGTTCTGCTCATCTGCAGGTTGGTTGGTTTAATGAGTTCTTTCTGTTATCATCTCTTTAGATCCTTGACATACTGTATATACACTGGACTTGGCATTACCACTTCCTTCCATTATGCAAAAGTGAATCCAAAATATTATGTATATGGCAGCTGCTATCTTGCTTTTTTTGCAATCAGATTCTGCCTAGTAGTGACCAGAAGTGGAGTGACGGCATCGGCACACCAATCAAAGCTGTCATATCAATTGAAATACACTTAAATTTATATAATCAAATAACTTACTAAACACAGACTTATTAGAAAAATGACCACTTGTACACATGATAATATCTACCCAAAACCACAGAAGTGACCTCTGGCTTCACTTCTGGGTGTTCTTATCCTGTCCATCATTTTTACAGTCGATGGTCGAGATACATGATCTCTTCACTTTGTTATATCATATACATTTATAGCACAGTGAACAAAAAGTGGAACAAAACCCTCTGTTAAATTGTGCTATACATTTTAGTGTGAACATTTCATTTTAGTGAGGTTCACAATGTTTCCACACTCTCTTCTTTCTTTGCTCTTTTGTATTTTATTAATCATCCCCCCATTTGTTCTTTGTCCTCAGCAT